ACCGATAATAACCTCAGGCCTTTGTTTAATAATTTTTGGTTACCCATCCCGTGAATAACTCTTGCGAAAATTGCTTAGCAATAGCGATCGTGCGCAGCGGCGTTTATCCGTAGCGCCACCGAGCTACGAATTAATATTGTCTATAAAATGATAATTTGTATCATGACTAATAAAAAAATAAGAACGCATATTTTTATCAGATTAGGTTCGCGTCGTCGTCGAGGCGAGCGGAGGTGGTTGGCAGCCTCGTCTTTCGTCTGTCTAGGACAGGCATTCGATTTACCCGAGCCTCTCCAATTTTCCATCTGGAAGGGGACCAATGGTCCACTACTTGAATGTCCTGGTGACTCGGCCATAGCTTGCCGGGTTTCATCTCCCAAGAGAGGGTGTAGATTACGGGCTCTGGGGACCCACTGGGCAGCTCACTGTCGGGTTCACGGAGGAGAATTCTACTCACCCCCTGTTGCTTGCCAGGTAACAGAGACAATGTCAGAAGCATTTCCAGGACGTTAAAAAAGTTAGATTTACGTCAACTGAAGTTAAGACAACTCGCGTTATATTTTTTTTTCTCTTATTACTATTTTTTATGTAAATACTCTTGTTTTATTTTTTAACATACATATTGCTGTAGATACATACTTTAAAGTTGGTATTTTCAGTCTTCGCTGGAAACAATGGTTTATTCATTGGTCACAACACTCATATAATATTACGCGAGTCTGAGGGTCGGTTCAGAGTAGCTCGGTGGCGTAGTGAATAAGCGCCATGGCCCGTGATTGTAGTTGTTCAGCAACTTTCGCAAAGGTCGGTCACAGGATGGGTGACCAAAAAATATTATCTCAAGCAACTCCAAGCTTCGGAAGGCATATAAAGCGATTGGTCTCGGTTGTATTTGGAGTCGTTAATATCCTCCACTCCACATTGGGCCAGCATAGAGGGTCGTGGCCCATCCTCCTTAACCATCCATAAGGGAAGCCTGAGCTCCTGCAGTTGGTGACGTAAAAGGGCTGATGATGATGATGAGGGCCGTTCAAATCTGACGGAAGCTCAGTTAGGCACCTCTCGGAAGTATGTGTTAGTAGACGATTTCCTTCGGTTGTGGAAAGTCGAAATTAAAATATGTATATATTTTTTTATCTCAATAAATAAAACTCCACGTATCTTCCGTCAGATATGTGTACTTTTACAGACCGACTATTATAGACAAAGAAAGAGATCGGACGGAAAGCGCTCGGTCTCGGGAGACACCTGCAAAACGCGAAGCGTATTTAACTGCCCATCGCGAGACTCATGCACTATAAAGTTGAACCTGAATCATTTACCATCAGGGACAATCTCTTGAGCTCTCAGAGAACTCAAACAATAAGCTTTTGATCTCAGGAAACTTCTGAAGATCGCATAGCGCATTCTGAAGTCTAACTGCTGATCGTAACATAAATGCAGTATGGTATGAGTATGAAACTTCCTTTGATAGAGAAATGCGCTTGGTCTCTGAATGAGCTCGCAGTTTGCACAATAGAGATCGAGAAAGTAGTTTCGATCGCCAACCCGTGTTGCCTTCATACTCCACAGGCGTACCGCAGATAAGTTTTGACAGGGTATAATGAACAAGGTATTTTCCCGCGACTTTATCGCAAAATTATAGCCTATGACATTTGCCTCTGATGTAGCTTCCCGTAGGTCAGAATCGCTCTGAAACTATCAGTCCAGAGGGTTTTGGAGCAAACTCGATGCAAACAAATAAACAAACAAATCTTTCCTCTTTTTAATATTAGTATAACTTAGGTATAAGAGGTCTGATGGCGTAGTGAGTTAGCGCGTTCGATTTAAATTGCACTTAAATAAGTAAGTAAACACTGCACAACAAGGACATACATGAATACTTATTTTACATTACTAAGTACAAACGACAACCTAGGCAACCTAGCATTACATGGAAAATAGAACAATAAATAGCCGATTGTGCATACAACTAGACAAATAATAATAATTTAAAAAGATCAAAAGAAGGATAGTTTAAAGGTACGAATAAAAAGCTCAGACACAAGCGACAACAAGAGCGTGAGAAACGAGAAAAAAGATAGAAAAATAACATTCGTAAGGACCATTCACAGGATGTGTGACCACAAAATTATTATCTTGAGCACTGTGCACAACACTGGCACAATACACGTTAAGCCGTTAGTCCTGTCCTGGCTGCATCAGCAACGTTACCACCCATTAAGCCCGCATAGTGGGTTATGGCCCGATGATCTTATTCGATTCGACTCCATTAATAGGAAAAAAATAATTCTACCAAAATACTTCCCACGCAGACGAAGTCGCGGGCACAGCTAGATAATCATAAAATTCAAAGTTCAAACTCATACCCTCTTAATAATAAAACTATATTTCAGAAAAAGAGAGACTGATTTCACTTTTTATTCAAGTTTAATCATGTGTAATGCTGCATAAAATTTTTGTTTTGCATTTTACTTCCATTTTCTGTTAGCTGTTTCACGCAGAAGGGCTTTTGTTTTTTTTTGTATTATCATTAATATTTAATTAATAATATTAATAAAGTGGATGGTATTTCGACTGTCACTCGTAGAATGGTTACCTAGTCAAATAAACTCATGTAATTCTAATTACGCACTTCATTTAATATACTGAACATATCATCCGACACATCCAACGCAATATCATTAAAATAACAAGGTTTAAGAAAGCTTTACTTAGTGTAGACATAATTATTTAGGCTTTTTGTATATGACAAGTCCATTTATTACTCTTTGTAATTTCATAATTATTTACATATTAATACGCTCCATATTGAAAGGTACTTACGTATTCCGCCCAATACATCTTCAGTGAGAGAATTTTAAATTGACGCATCATATGTATATAGTGTGCTGTATCCAAACGCCAAGACTTTCCACCGGAATATTCACGAAAGTTATTGTAATACTTCATTTGTAATACTTCAACCATATGTAATTAATTCTGTCACAAGTTCTTCGAACGGTCTTATAGTGGATGCCCACGGCCAATGAAGAGATGACATACCAATTACAAAGTTTAAACCCTTTGTTGTTTCTAAGATTTCAATGTCAGTCTAAAGCAGGCTTTGATTTGCGAATTCCTTTGACCTCTGCCTTTTGATTATGCAGTCTTACTTCATTTAATACATTTATGATGCGACGCAATATCTTCCCTAATACGTACAAAATATGATTATGCATATTTTCGACGGGTCTTGAGGTGAACAAAGAACAATTTGAAATTATGCTATATTTATATATGGCATTAAAAATGTAATAACCAGAAAAATGTTTGTTTTTGTTTTTATAATATTGATTGCTGTTAAAGCATAATTACATACGATATAAAAAAAATAAGAAGGCAATAAACATATATTTTTTCTAATTAAACATAAGCCTTCGAGCTTCCATTTTGTTTGACATTCAGAACGCGCAATAAGTCCGCGACGCCATTAAATAGAGCTTAGCAAAAGGTCAGTCCTACAACTAATTCTATTAGCTGAGCTCTATCTAACCTAAAAACGATATCTGTAGCTATATTATATAGTAGCTATATCGTATAGTCTTGAACCGCGCCAATAGAAATAAATGTTTTGTAAGTTGATTTCGTATGGATTTGGACTTGACTAGTAAGGACATGTGATAAGAAGAGATGATTTACATATAACAAAAGGTTTGTGAGCAGGAAATGTAAGGAAAGGACGATGGATAGACTGTGTGTAAGATATACTTAAGAAAGGAGTGTATGTTGAGATGTCGCGTTAAAATTGTTTACTCAACAGTCTCGTTTCGTTAGAATGGCATTGAATCGATTGGGGATATCGTAACTCACCACGCAGCTCATTGCTGTTTGATAGAATTAGCAACTACAGATGCAGAGATCAACGACTTACCGTGCCTTCCGAATGACAGGAGCTCGAGATACCCTTGCGTAGCTTAATTTTCGTATCACAGACCAACCGCGCTAACCACTACACCATCGAACTCTTATCCCACAAACTAAAAGCGCATTGTCTCTAAGTCCTCCTAGTTTTAGGACGCTACTTTTGTAGAACGTTGGTTATACTCGTACAGATATACAGCTAGATTCATTTACTCCATCTTTTGCAAACGCTATGTTGTTAATCCCAGCAGCAGCTGCATTCGTTAACAGCCATCGATCCCCGCTGGACCCACGCGCACACTATTTCTTTTTACATTATTTTCTGTAAATATATTCCTTACCACAAATTATTATTATTGGGAGTTAAAATATGAAAAAACATCTAGAATTTTGGCTACTAAACATATATGGTCTAAGTTGTTGAACAAATCATGGGAATGACTTCTCTTCAGGTTGCCATATTTACAATCTGTTGTGCTTGACTATCATCAAGTCTATGTTCTATAGATAGTAGGAGCGTAGTCAATAGGTTGATATTAATGAAATAAATAAATTAGCAAGAAAAAGATATGTGTAAGAAAACTACACATAAGCATGTTCAGGTCTGATAACTTTAAACATATAATGTTTATAATAAATGTTAATTGTGAATCTAATCAAAACTGTATTTGTAAATAAAATAAACAAGAAATTTGAAATAACTTTTATGAATAATAATCTAAATATTTTTTTATGTGACTGGTTGTCCCTTTCTGTTGACTGTTCAGGTAGGCTGGTAAGTTATTTAAAGGTACATTGTATTATTATTACGTTGTAATTTGTAGAAATATTTGCTTTCTAATATTGTAATATACTATAACGAATACAATTTTATGTAACTAAAAACATTAATCATAATACTGTAGTTAAAATTATAAATAAATATTCGGTAATACGTCTTGACTTCTCTTCTGTGAACCGAAAAATTTAGAGATTGAAACAATCTACTAAAGTTACTACCATATGTATATTTGTATCCTGGCTACACTGAGCAATTGCCATTCGCCGGCGTGGATCAAGCAAGGTTATGTCACGGAGCTAATTTGTTAAAAGTTTTAATAATTATTCAAATAATTTTGTCAGATATCAGTGCATCTTTTCTGTTCACAATATTCCTTGGTAAGTAAACTACTATATGCTTGAAAAAACATACAGCTTAAAACCCAAGCTGGGGGTATTTTGGTAAATCAAATTGGCTTTTGTTCTAACCTGTATAACAAAATGGCAGTGATAATTTTTGTGGTTATTTTCTTTTCTGTGGACATCTTTTCTGTGAAAATTATTTTCCACAGGAGAATCTTTTGTCCACAGGAGATAACAATGTTGCATTAATTAACAAATAAATATGACGCGTGCCAAAGTTTTTAATAGCCTAAGTATTAATTTACACTCGAGCATTATTTTGCATGGAAAACTGCACTAAAGCATTAATTTCTTTCATCTTTTTCTTTCGCTAGACAATATGTGATGCATGAAATTCATATTGTTTTAGGTAAAATGCCTCATACAAGTAGATCAAGGTCAAATTTAAGCGAAGAAGAAAAAAAGAAACGTCGTCGTGAGCAAAAAAAGTTGAGTATGCGTAGAGCTCGAGCCAAAATGGACACCGCAGCTCTGGAAGAAAGGCGTAGAAAAGATAGAGAGCGGTATCAACGTAAAAAACAAGATGGACTGATTAAAACTATTGCTGACTACACACCAAGACAGCAACGCCAAATTAGAAAAATGTGGCGTGAAAAAGCTAAGGTTAGACGTGAGAAAGAGAAAATCAGAAAACAAACCAATAAAATACTTCTAAATACACCACCTTCCAGCCCAAGTTCTAGTTTTTCGAGGGTAGAATTAGGAAGAGCAGTGAGCGCAAGAAATAGACGTAGACTAAAAGCAAAAAATGATTATTTATCTTTTAGATTACAGTTATTGGAAAAAAAATTAGCTAAATACAGGATGAGAATTTTAAGACTGAAAAGAAAAAAATATCAAAGTGATAATTCTGATAAAATTAACGTGAAGCAAACGATACATGACTTTTTACTTGAAGATGAAAATAGTAGACTAACTGCTGGTAAAAAGGAGACAATCACGCGTCGAAAGATAAAGCAGCAAATACGCTTTTTAAACGACTCTCTTCTTAATCTCTTCAAGATATTTGTCTCTAAAACTGGATTAAATATTTCTTATGAGACCTTTCGGCGTCACCGGCCATTTTGGGTATTATCTCCTAAAGTAGCATCAAGAAATACCTGTTTATGTCGTACCCATACTAATAATGATTTTATAGTTTATGCTCTTCATCAAGCAAAGATAATACCCCATTCTACTGCTACTGATGTTGCTAAGAGTCTTTGCTGTAATAATGTACTTGATGTTTCATGTTTAGAACGCAATTGTTCACAATGTATTGGGAAATATGTGAATTTCAATACGATTAATCGTTTAGATACAATAATTTATCAAAGATGGGTAACTAAAAACGTAAATGTTGTCATCAACGGTCAAGAGAGAAAACTAAAAAAAACCTATAAAGAAACAGTAAAGACAACTCAACAGTTACTTCTTAATACTTTAAAAGTAAATTTGCCTATATTTATGCAACATCTTGCAAATATTATTAACCAGTATAAAGCTATTCGACAAATAAAACAAAATCTGACTTCTGTAGATGGTTTACTACATATTGATTTTTCTGAAAATTATTCATTTAAATATGGCACCGCAATTCAGTCTGCACATTTTGGGGGGTCTAAAGAGCAGTTATCTATGCATACTTGTGTGTATTATTCTTTTCAAATACCACACAATAAAATACAAACAACATCTATTTGCACAGTTTCTCAGAATTTAAGACATGATCCCGTTCTTATTTGTGCCCACTTAAAACCCGTTATTGAACAAATTAAATTAATTACTCCAGATTTAAAAAATCTTCATATATTAAGCGACGGACCCTCCACCCAATACCGAAACAAGACAATGTTTCAAATGATAGCGAATTATCTTGGTAATATTACCAATGCCGAAACAATCACATGGCATTTTACAGAAACAGGTCACGGAAAGGGTGCTCCAGACGGTGTTGGTGGATGTCTCAAAAGAATCTGCGATAAGGCCGTTGCAAATGGGAGAGATATTGTCGATATTGATTCTTTTGTTGACTGCTCAAAAGAAAATTGCAAGGGCATCGTAGTTATTCCCATTGATGATACGAATGTGCTCGATATACAAAATATAGCAGATGCAATTACTGTTCGCCCTTTCAAAGGAACATTCAAACTACATCAAATTGCTTGGAGCATTTTAGAACCAAATATACTTCACGCGAGAAGATTGAGCTGTATAGAATGTGCTGCAAATACTAAATGTTCTCATTTTGAAATTGGCCAAATACTAGTGCAGCATGTCGAGTCATATGGAAGTCCATCAAATCTGCCACGAAGAGTTATAATAGCTAGCCCTATTGTCTCTTCTCCCAATACCGCATCAGCTTCCACAGTCACTAGATCCAGGACACCAGAATCGATTGGACCTTCTAACGACACACCATCACCAGAACCTCTGATAAGCAGACGTCAACCACTTACTCCAAGAAAAAAGCTTAATTTAGAAGATGTATCAGATGATTCTGATTTTATGACATCACCATCGGCAAGACGACCTCGAAAACGTTCAGGATTATTTATTGAAAGTGATGACAGTGACACAAACAGTTCACCACCCAAGAATTGCAAAAGGCGTTTAGCTATATTTATTGACACTGATAGTGAAAACTCACCACCCAAACCATGCAAAAGACCAATTGGTAAAAATTATTTTAGCGATGATAGTATTGGTAAAATTTTTTGAACAGATTCGTTTTACGTTATAGTTTCGTTTGTTTATTGAGTTGATTTGATTTGAATTTGTTGAATAGTTCACAACTTAAGTATTTAAAATATCAATATAAAGAAACAATGTATGTGGTTGTTTTAATAATTATAGCATGTATAATTAATATATATGTTTTTACTATTCGTTATAAAACAGTATAAAGTATGATTCATCCATAATAATATTAACTATTACTGATTCTGATCTCTTCTGTGGCCAATAGTCTTCTCTGTTGTCATGATAAATATTGAAAATGCCATAACTCCTTTATTTTCAAAAAATGATCTAGTTTTATAATCTGTTTGTTATATGTTGGGCGAAAACTAATAAATAAATTTGATTAATAAATTTTTCAAGAACTTTTTATTTTAACGAAAAAAATAACGCCTTTTGTGTATGCAACAAAAAATAATTTAAAACTATTTTCAAAATTAGTCGAATACCCTATTCTCTATACATATATAAAAGGAGATGTTCTGACTTACTGACTGACAGACAACGCACAGTCTGGTCGTGGAAACTTGAAATTCGGAGGGAACGTTCCCCTTAATACGTAGAGGTGTACTAAGGACGGAGTGTTGGAAATTCCATCCCAAAGGAGGTCAAAGAAGAAGGGGTGAAGAAGTTTGTATGAAACTTCTTTGTTTATGGACCTATGTTGCTGAAAATTTGTATTTGGGTAGTTTATAACCCTAATAAAGTAATAGGTTAAATTTTATCTCGAAAACTAGCACTTAAAGGGATAAAAATGGGAGTGAAAGACTTATGGGGAATCAAAATGTTACCATAGCAACCATTGTTTACAATCTGATTTGTCATTGAAATACATTTACCTAATATTATTTACAAAATGTTTTATTGTATAGCGATGAAAATTGGTATTTGAGTAAATAATACATTTTTGAAATTTTAATGGATAAAAATGTTCAAATTCAAGTAATTTTGTTTACCAAAGATCGAAAACGCTCAGTGAGCGGAAAAATAGCTCACAACGCGTTGTGGTCACAGTAAAACATCCACATGGCGAAATTCGTGTTATGGCTCTAATGAAAACGCGCACGACGCATTGTGGCAATCACAGAAAGACCAAATAGCGAAATTCGTGTCGTGGCTGACATGCTATTCGATCTCAACGCGTTGTGGCAATGAAGAAAAGCCATCACGCGTATGGAATATTATTTGATTACGACGCACACTACTTTCCGATATGGATCCTACTAGGTCTAGGCTGAAAACGTTTTGGTAGATGTCCTTAGGAAATATTTTTTATTTTATAAAATCACTGCATAACGTGTTTGTTATTATGAAATATATTATATAAATTAAAATAAAACGATATTTGTTGTTTATTGAGATTACTTTATATTTAAAAAAATCAACGTATTAATATTAAGTAATAAATTACTGAACACAAAATGTTAATCATTTGTAAATTTCTTACAATTCACTTAAAATAATTAGGGATTTTAATTTTTTTATGACAATTTAAATTCTTTCAAGTAATAAAAATATTTAACACAAACATAAATGTTTATTGTCCACCAATAAACAACAATAATGTACTTAAAATAAGTTTTTGATTGCTATTTATTTTTACAGGAACTATTACTGTGGCATTTGGAGTTGCATTTTATATTCTTGGAGCGACACTTGCACTTTTTATCAATACAGTATCTTTTGCAGTGGCACATTATAAACCCTTGCTTACTTCCAGATGATAACATAGATGCTGAGCGGAGTGTTAACGACGAAGTTGAGGGCACATCACAAATATTAATAAAGTTGGTTTCAGAAAGTGTAAACTCATTACGTGCATAAAGTCTATCAAATGTACCTTCTTTGTTTCCTAACTGGTAGAGACCTGATGGATTAATGCTCGTAACAACACACATAACATTCCTGGGTGCTGCTCGTCCTCTATCAACTTCAGGAACTCTAACTAAAACGTTAGAACCAATTTCAACACAGGGAAATTTTGAATTAGACAGTGAAACCATTTTGTTTGCCTGTTCCTGTAGACCTGATTTAGCACATTCTCTTTCAACATTTATTCTGTACTTTCTGAAACAGAGCTTACAAGTTACATTTGCTCCAAATCCTTCATTCTCATTGCTTTCTCCACAGATAACGTGTACATTCATGACAGTCTAAGCACTTGTGAGCTCCTGACGTCTCATTTTTACAAACAGCACATAACTTCAAACTTTCAGCTTTTCCTAAATCAATATTTGCATTGGCTGATTCCTGTATTTTTTCATCATTGCCCGTGTTTCTTGATTCTTCTATAACGTCAGTAATAACTTTCACGTTTAAATTCTGTAATTTGTTTAACTGTTCATCATTTTCTATATTTTTCTCGTTGTTTTGAACATCATTTTTAATGGAAGATAGAACCAAATCTTGTAACTCTTCTTCAGTTTCTATGGAAGCATACACATCACCAGGAATAGATGAATCAGCAAGACCTATTTTTTGTGCTGATCCAAACATAGCTTCGTAAGGACTTCTCTTAAGCGCATGATGAAGAGCACGATTTTTTTTACTCTGAATAAATCGCAATCCTTCTGACCAATTTTGTGAATTATTATCAGCCATCCAAGTTATTAACATGTCACGAACGTCTTGATTCGACCTCTCTACCGAACCTTGACTTTGAGAATGTCGAGGTTTTCCATGAACAAGTTTCATCCCTGGCCACATTTCAGCTAAATTTTTTATGACCTTATTTGAAAATTCACGACCGTTGTCGCTTTGCAGTATACATGGAGCGCCGAACAAACAAAATATATCTAAAAGTTGATATGCTACTTCTTCAGCAGTCTTCGTTTTGATTGGTCTTAGAATAGTAAATTTAGTCAAGTGATCTTGATAATTCACAATAAATTTATAATCTTTATCTGGTTCAGACTGCATATCGATCAAATCAACTTGACATCTAGAATTCATGCAGTCGGATAAAATAGGTTTCACTACTAAACCGCGTTTTGGTATCTTTTTTTTTAATTGGCATTGTTCACATAAACTTAAATATAAGTTTATAATAGTTCGTGTAACATTACAGTATTGTTTTTTCAATTCAGCTTCCATAACTGTAACAAAAATAATCTACTTTAGGATTTTTCTCTGTGTATAGGTATCCTTAAAATCATACATACATACATATATCACGCCTTTTTCCCAAAGGTTAAAATCATAGTTCTGATCTATCTGAAAATAACCTACCTCTAGTCCGTTTGTGACCGACGTTAGTATGTGCTTTTTCCAAAATATCAAACAGTTCATCTGTTTTGCAGAAATATCGAATTTTTGAACTTGAGCTTTCTATTCCAGCTTCAACCAACTTTTCAGTATCACCAATCTTTAAGACATCATATCGTTTAAGACGTCGATACTGCTTCGAACATAGAGACTCGTTGTTCTTTTTAAGAAGCTGAGACTGTTTTGTTTCATTAAGTAACATTTCATATTTTTCTGTAGTCATGATAAAACTGCGATCAGTGCTTGTTTCCACAAACTCACGCAATTTATCGTAAAACACTTCTTTTTTATTCGTCATAATTAGCGCTGACATTAAAATTCACTCTGAGAAACAGAAAAGAAATGAATAAAACTGATGTTATTATGCGTCTTTACAGCGCCGACATCGACAAGTTACAACCTGTCCGTCGTGATATGGTTAAAACAATGAATGCTCAGAACGCATCATGGCTTTTCTTCATTGCCACAACGCGTTGAGATCGAATAGCATGTCAGCCACGACACGAATTTCGCTATTTGGTCTTTCTGTGATTGCCACAACGCGTCGTGCGCGTTTTCATTAGAGCCATAACACGAATTTCGCCATGTGGATGTTTTACTGTGACCACAACGCGTTGTGAGCTATTTTTCCGCTCACTGAGCGTTTTCGATCTTTGAGCGTAAGGCGTTAAATGAATTCTAAATCGCAAATTTTTTTGCCTACAAAATTTACCTAGAATAACTTTTCAGCCAGCTGATGGATATTCTAAATCGCGCTATTATTTTGATAAAAGTACTTTGCGCAGGCTTTAAATCAAAAACATGAAAATGTTCCAAGTTTAGAGTAAAGAAATTGCAATTATTTGTGATTTTCATTTCATAAATAATTCATTTATTGAGGATAAGTAGGTATTGCTAGGTTTTAACCTAAGATTTTTAAGATGATAAATTTTACAAATCCTATTTTATTACATTTGTTCATTCATATTATGTAAGCACCTTAGTATAGGTTTCCAAGTACATATGTATGTCGTGGCCAGATCTTAGAATTGACCAAAACATGATGCGGCAAGCCATTTTTTGTATTTGTGAAGTGGAAAAATCTTGCTGCCCACATCATAATGTGGCCTGGCCAGATCAATTAATGATTTGCGTTTAACGATATGGGCGGCTGATAGTATAACTCCTTCATGATGTGGCCAAGAGTAAGTGATCATATATAAATATCGCATAAACAAGCTATTTCAGCAAATAATTAAATTTCAATTTTTTGTTGCGTATATTACGTTTTCGATTAAGTTTTGTGTAAACTTCAGAACTGTTTCTTCATCTGTATTTCAAATTGGATTAGATAAATATCTCTAAAGTTTTCAAAGATAAAGTTCTAAAACATATTGGATATTTGTTGTTTTTTTTTGTTGTAATAATAATAATTATAGAATATTATTATTATCTTCGAGCTTAAACATCAAGGAAATTTCATCATCAACTCGAGAAACAACAGCGTTTTTGAAAAATATATGCTGCCCAATGTAACTATACCACGCGGACGAAGTCGCGGGCAAAAGCTAGTAATATTATATTTTTCAACTATTAGCAAACTCACTATAGACTAGTATAACTATTATTAGTTTTAATACTGTCAAACTACATTTATAAATCTGTAAACAGCTAAGACAAATAAAAGTCAACTTATTCTACTTTCTTCTTATAAAAGGAGGATTTATTAAAATTTATTATCAGGTTTAAACTGTTAACCAACCATAACAAGTACCTAAGCACATCTCTCTTTGGCATTTTCTTTTCTGCAATTGTCAATTTGTTTTAGGCGACCAATTACATAAACTTTAAACCTCTTTTTATAACGTATATGTTATATAATATACAGAAGTAAACCTTTTTACAGTCCAAGCTGCACGTCTTTGGAATG